ATCACAGCGCGACACGTGTCAACATCATAAGCCAATCACAACACGACACGTGTCAATGTTAGAACAAAACTAGAAATTCTCTTCTATAAATAGGGATCATTCTCCCACAATAATCTCTAATGTCATTTTGTACCAAACTATTCACTAGAACTCACAAAATGAGAGCTTAAACCTATGTATTTGTGTAAACCCTTCACAATTAATGAAAACTCCTCTACTCCGTGGACGTAGCCGATTTGGGTGAACCACGTACATCTTGTGTTTGCTTCCCTGTCCCTATTCATTTACGTACTTATCTTCACTAGTGATCGAAGCAACCAAGCGAAGGTCACAAATCTGACACTTTCTGTTGTACCAAAGTCCTCGCTGATTTTGTGCATCAACAGGTGATAATGATTAAATGTTATCATGCACGTGGCTTGGTGCTGATCAAGATGATGGAATAATCATGTACTTTCGTGGGAAATGAGCCAATCTCATGCAATTCATGCATGTGTGGGGTAATCAGCACAAGAGTATAAGGAAAATATGGGATAATTCGAGAGGTTTAGTCTCGGTTGGTTTCTAGGAAATCATCAAGGCCAAGGGATCCATTTGGGATAATTCGAGAAGTTTAAGTCTCGGTCGGTTTATAAGGTTAAAGGATCATGCATACTTGAGAGAATATTCCCAATATTTACATCGACAATCCTAGTGTTCTGCTACTATAAATACAAGGGGTCATGCATCATTTGATGGCCCCTCCAATTCAACACACAACTGCACTGCACAAACTCTCTCAACAACCTTGAGATTTTTTCTTTTCTCTTTTCGCCGACACACCTTCAGTTTGGATAAACAGCACTGGAGCTGTAGAACCAGCCGACCGTGGAGCATCTTCGGTTTGGATAAACAGCACTACGAAGGGGCCGACTGGTTATCTATCCAAGTCTCGGTCAAGAAGGATTTCTGAATCCTTATTGGTCGAGGTCATCTCATTAGTCTTCTCGACGAAGTGAGGTGTTACAAGTTACTACATTCGGAACATTGAAAGCCGAATTTGATATTTGAACTTCGCAAAACTAGCAGTCTTGTCTTCAGGCTCTAGAACCCAAAGGCCGAGACAAGTTCCTTCCTCGGCCACAATCGCAAGACGCAGAAGTCAGCAGCGCACCCAATGCGATATCAACAAATTTTACTCCTCAGCCAAGCTCGGTCGACAAGTTGGCAAGCCCCGCACATAACCAAAGGACATAGTTAGCTTATAGATTACTCGGCATGCGCGCCACGTAGACTTGGTAGTTTTTAGGGCCAACATATATGTACTTAGTTTGTCTATGAACATGATATTCAGCTTATATGATATACTCAGCTTGTCATTACATCGTGTCTACTCAATAATGACTTGATTATATTATCCAGCTTACACTGGCTACGGCTAGGTATGGTATTGTGTGTTATGTCACTATAAAATCAGTAATATTAGCAGTTTGTATATGTGACGTTGAGGCCTCTTCCCAAAGCTCTGACGAATTCTTACAAGGTATGTTATCTACTCAACTTTATTAGTAGAACTCGTATTTTGGCAAATATACTTTGAATATATTATTAGGCATGTAATAAGGGTTAGAGACCCATTTAAGTGTGACCCTTCGCAAATGTGATGAAATAAATGTACGTACCTGCATGTGTTTTGATTTATCTTAACCTACTTTAGAGAAAGTTTTGTTGAATTTTCAGTAGTTTTTAAAATTTAATAATTTTAGTTATGATTTCATGCATATTATGGCTTCGTTCGGGTGACAGCTAGCACGCCTCGATTTTGATGTTCACTGAACACCAGAGTTGGGTACAGCTTGAAGTAAAAACAGAAGCCAAAAATTGGAGCAGCCTAGAAAATTCTCGGTGGTGTCCATGTAACCTAGCGTGAGTTGGGGTAGGTTAGGTGCGAGGTATTAAATATCGATGATATCGGAAATATCAGTAGTCCAAAAACACTGAAATTTCGATGGAAATATCGGGATATTATCGATATCGATAAAAATTGAATAAATCACGGAAATTGTAAGAAAAACTTGGAAATTTTTATTGAAACTTTGCATGATGTTGATTTAGTCAATTATCTATTAGTTTATCACAAAAAATTGGAAGGAAATGCATTGCATGATAGATATAACTGATTTAAGTTGATTATATAGCGAGCTGGCAAACATTGTGAGTATAGAAAATATGTAGTAATTAATGAAAGAAGTTTAAACATACCATAATCATTTATATATAATGAATTAGTACAATATTTTACGCTTTATAAATTGCATGGTAAGATATATGAGTGACTTAGCAAGGTCTAAAATATCGATGATATCGGAAATATCGGTAGTCCAAAAACACGAAAATTTCGATGGAAATATCGGGATATTATGGATATTGTGAGCTGCAGCCCAACAACAGCAGATTCAGGCTGCAAACAAAAAACATGGTTTTGGGCTGGGGGCAAGCCTAGAAAGATAGCCCAGCAAAGCAGGTGCCCAGCAGAGCCGGAGTGGGCGGAGAAGAAGGCAGCCCAGCATTCATTAGGCTGCAGGCCTGGCAGGAAGAAGTTAAAAAAAAAAATTGGACTTGGGCTCGGTGGGCACAACAACCCTAAAACGTGTGCTGCGGGTCCGGACACCAAACGGTGTCGTTTTGGACAGTGGCCAGAGCTGAAGCTCGGCGCTGTTAGTGTTGCAGTGCAGCTCAAACGGCGCATTTTGGCTTGAGGCCATGCTAGGCGCAGCTCGGTGGGCCGCGGCTCAGCCGCTACATCCTTTTTTTGTTCTGTATTTTAGGGTTTACGAAACTTCTTGCTTCTATTTTCTTGTTTTTAATTAATTAATTTATTTTTTTATTTTTTTACTCATATTATTCAACATAGCAATATAGCATAACATAACATAACTTGCAAAAGAAAAAATTATAGCAATAGTCTCTGAATTATGACACAATTTGAGTAATAGTCCATAAACTAAAAATCCATTAGATTTGGTTCCTGACAAAATGAGGCATTTTCTAACCCCTGAAGAAAGATAAACAACAAATTCACAGTCCTGCTAAGGTCATAAACATATAAACATGATGGCGCTCTACATTAGCCCCACACTTTAAAATTTGCTGAACACACTTTAAAATTTGCATTAGCCCCATACTAAAACGAATAATTTTCACTGCAAATTAGCATGCAACTATCATATCCAATTCACTGCAAACCCACATGAACATACAATTTGCCAGTTGGTGGTGAAAAGAGATTAGCTTTTTCAATAACATGTACTCAAAATTAATACTTGTTTTGTGAACTATCAAATTTGACCTCACTTCTTGACATTTCACCAAAAAGGAATTTGGCCTCACTTCGTTCAACCAGGAATTAATTAAAAACAGCTATGCAATGAAATACCATTGTTGGTAATGAAACAAGTGAGGGAGGAAAAAAAGATAACTTTGGATAACAAGAACTGCGGAAATTGAAGATTTTTGTATTTGTAACAATTAAACAAGATCATTGACTGCAGGTATTACACCGATCTACAGTTGCACAAGACAAATCACAAATTTACAACAACACACAATAAAAATGGAAATTGAAATTGGGTACAAGAAATACGATTGCAATCTATCTTAAACGACGAAGCCGGATGAAGAGGGAGTCGAAAGAGGATCCGGTTCCATCCTGAGCTCGGTTGGGCTCTTTTATTGTGAGCCGTTGAGTTAAAATCTAACGGCTTAAAATTCGTCCGCACAATTGGTCCGCACCTTAGAAGTGGCGGTTGCGCAATAGGAGGTGCGCCCCGTAGCTTTTAATGCCTACACCTTTGCGGGAAGCATGTAACTTGACGAATATCTGGCTTTACCTCGAGGTCCCATGTTGTCAAAAGACCAAATGGTCGAAGAGATATACACAAAAGAGTGATCAGGAGGTTCTTTAGACCATGAACAAAAACCATTACAAATAAGTGTCAAGCAGGCTAGACGGTGCGCTGCTTCATTGGCTTGGCGGCATATATGGGTGATGTCAGCTCTAGTGATCTAATCTAGCAATGCCTTTGCATCCTCAACAGTAGAGCCGACTGGCGAGAGGTTGAGGGATTGGCCTTACAAAGCTAAGACAACCTGAAGAGAATCGATCTCCTGAATAAGATTTTGATAATCCATGTTTATCGCCGAAATGAGGCCTCCTCTAACCCCTGGACAAAGATGAACAACAAATTCACCGTCATGCTAAGTTCATAAACATATAAACATGATGGAGCTCCGGCATTAGCCCCACTTTAAAATGCAATACACACAATGGTCACCAAATCTCTGAACACTAAAACAACACAAAATATATTTCATAAAACTTCATTATTTTTGTTCAAGGAGAGACAAAAGCTCAAACCTCAACAAACCTAGCCCAAAAACAAGCAAACCAAAAATTTTAAATTCCAGCCATGGCCTCAAAGTTAACCAGGCCAAAACTATAAAGTGACAAACTAGGCCAAAACTTCAAACTAATTTTAGATTCGTAAAAATTAATTTCTGCATTTATAAACGATCAGTTTCACAATTCATGCATTTATGCAAGATTACTTTCACATTTTCTTTGCAATTCTGTAAGGTTAGTTCAAAATTTCTACAAGATTAATTTTAAAATTCCAACGCTTTGATAAGATCAGTTTCGAAAATTTCAGTACCATAGAGATAATAACGTAGGAGGAGGAATAGAGAGAAGTACGAAGAGAGAAGAGAAAGAAAAATACAAAGAAGAAGGTGGAGAGAGATAAAGAGACAAATGGGTAGAAAGGAGAAGGAAGAGAGATAGAAATGGACCAAGAAGAAATAATCATGATATCGCATGTGACATGAATAAGTTTAATTTCTTTCTCAAATAAATAAAAAACTTAGTCTCTCTCAAAAATATATAGTTTTATTTAAATTACATGTTAACAAAATCTCTCCCCCCCTAAAGAAAGAAAAATAATAATGTAATCATTAATCACAAAATAAAATCATGACAATAATGTAATTTTGAACAAACGAAATTTTTACGTTTTCCTTTTTTTTCCTTCACCCACCCACATTAAAGCTAACATATCTCTAAATTTTTAAACTTGTTTCCATTTCTCTCTCTCACATTTCTCTAGAACTTCTCTACCTTCCCTATATTTTCCAACCAAAAAAAAAAAAAATCTTGTATATTTACGCTCACATTTTGTTTCATCTACTGTTTATATATTAACCAAGAAAAAATAAATTCTCCAGCTCGTCGAGAGCTCTCTCTCCAACTCGTCGAGCTCTCTCCCTCCAACTTGTCGAGCTCTCTCCCATGGCTTTTCCGTCGATTTTGATATGTAGAAGCTACGATTTCAGAGATATTCTACTTTCAATACAATTTCGACTCGTTTCCCACTAGTCCAGTCCGAATTCGATCTGCAGAGGACTCTGTTAGGGTTTTGGTCTGTTGAGATCCGAGGTAATTTTGAATCGTTTCTTATGATTGGATTGAATTGTTTCGATTCGCTTTTTTGTTTTTTTTCTTTCCATTTTTCTGAATTTGTTTTTTATTTCGTTTTCGAAGAACTGATTGGATTGATTTCAGGAATAATTTGTATTTCTATGATTTCAGAGATTTGAGGTTGCGATTTCGAATATTGGAGCTTCGAGTTCAGAGGTTTGAGACTGCGATTTTGAATATTGGAAGCTACGATTTCATAATTTTGAGGCTGCGATTTCTGGTGGTTAATACGTAAGTCACAAAACTAAATTCTCTATCTCTAAGTTTCGTTTTAAGTTTCGCATCATTAGAACCCTAGAAACTCCCAAATTGCCTCGTTTCAGTTCGTTTTATTTTTTTTGTTTTTTCTCCTGGCCGATGAAAACCTCATTCTGCAGTTACCCTAACGAATTTAATTTGGTTAGATTTACTGGGATGGAGTTTGGGTCCTCAATTGTTCACAAAATCAAGAACTGGTGGAGATAGAGAGGGAATTTTGTTGGAGTTTTATAATTTTAGCTTCACATAGATTACAACATTAATAAGCAGAGTATAAATCAAACCTGAAGAAGCCATTGCAACAGAGTTTGCAGAGGTAAGTCTTCTACTCAATGGGGACCTTATGCTTTCACTAGAATAGGGCTAGTTTACTGAATAAGAACGTGTTTTCCCCTTGAGCAGGGACTCAACCTTTATAGACATGTAATCTCAACCATTTCCTCCTATCACGGAAACAGTTTGATTAAACCCCACGTCCATTTGATTTCCAACGTGAGATATCCACTCTCTACCATGTTTATCCTTATAGTCCTACTTTAAAGGAAATAATATTTATTCATTTATTAACTCTAACTGATTTAGGTTTCCACTAAACTTAAACCCTGATGTGATAAGATTAGAGTCCAATAGGGTTCCAACATTCTCCCACTTGGACCTAAACTGATCACTTTCGTTCAAGCAATGTATTCACCAAAATCAATTCCTTAGTGATCACATGAGTTAACAGATGAACAAGCATTTCCTCACACATCGACCATGAGTGACTCAAGGCATAGAACTGCAGAAAGAACTTGCACAATAATAGCACAGTCTCTCTGTAATCACTAATACTATGAAGCCAATCACATATGATGCTTAAACATGCAGAGTAAAAAGAGTGCCATTTTTCACACTCCCACTGGATAAACCATTTCCTTAGCGTTGCAGTATCCTTGATACATTCCTACAAAGAATCATTAGCCATCACATGTGTATATATATAAAAAAGGTCGTACCCAGTGCACAAGGCTCCCGCTTTACGCAGGGTCTGGGAGAGGTGAATGTCGGCTAACCTTACCCCCATTAATGGAGAGGCTGCTCCCAAGTCTCGAACCCGAGACCTACCGCTCATGGACGAAGGCACTTGCTATCGCACCAAGTGCGACCTCTTCACATGTGTATATATATGTATGTACTAAATTATTCATACTCCTGATGTTTCGAAAAACAAATGAATAATGCAATGGGAAACTATAGGAAATATAGAACCTTATCAGGTAAATCAATAGCTATATGCCAATAACTCACATCAAAATGACACATGAATTATCATTCAGCATGTACTTTAACAACTATTTGCACTTTTACTCCCACATAGCTGCTGAATCAAACGATCCAATACTCCCATTTTTGCAACATGCATCTTGAACACAACAATTGGCAGTGCCTTAGTAAGTGGATTTGCTATCATGGAGTTGGTGTCAACATGCTCAATTATCACCTGTCCATTCTTCACATTCTCTCTAACTGAACGATACTTAATATCCATTAACCGATTGGCAGTAGACTGCTTGTTGTTTTTGGAAATGAACACAGCAGCCTTATTGTCACAGTATATTACAATTGACCTTGAGATGCTATCCACGACTTCCATAAGAGTGACCAAATCTTTAATCCACAATGCCTTCTGCGTAGCCTCAAAGACAGCGATATACTCAGCTTGCATCGTGGAGGTTGCAAGTGTCTTCTGTTTAGCACTCTTCCACGAAATGACACCTCCTGCTAGAAAAAACAAATAACCACTCGTGAACCTTCTATCATCCTCACACCCTGCAAAGTCAGAGTCTGAGTAACCTACTACTTCAAGCTTTTCACACTTCTTATACACAAGCATGCACGACTTCGTTTTTTGCAAGTATCTCAACACCTTTTTGGCAGCCACCCAATGTTGCTCTCCTGGGTTTGACTGAAACCTACCAAGCACACTTATTGAATATGCCAAGTCTGGTCTTGTGCATACTTGAGCATACATTAAGCTTCCTACCAAGGATGCATATGGTTTGTTCAGCATGCCTTGCATTTCCAGTTGATTCTTAGGACACTGAGACTTGTTTAGCTTATCACCCTTACTCATTGGCACTTCACCTCCAGAGCAACACTCCATATTAAATCGTTTCAAAACCTTTTCAATGTATGCCCTTTGTGAAATTCCCAACAAATTTCTTGACCTATCCCTGATGATCTCAATCCCAAGTACAAAGGAAGCTTCCCCGAGATCCTTCATGTCAAAAGTTCTTGACAACAATGATTTAGTTTCCAATAAAAGATTTAAATCATTGCTTGCAAGAAGTATGTCGTCCACATATAAAATGAGAAAAATAAATCTCGAACCAATGCATTTGAAATAGATGCAATCATCAACCTTATTTTCAATGAAACCAATTTCTATTACCTTTTGATCGAATTTCATAAACCATTGTCTTGATGCTTGCTTCAGCCCATATATCATTTTGCTTAATTTGCAAAGCAAATGACCCTTTCCTTCTTCTACAAAACCAAGAGGCTGCTCCATGTAAATATCCTCTTCAAGATCACCATTGAGGAAAGCAGTTTTAACGTCCATTTGATGAAGTTCTAGGTTGAAGTGTGCCACTAATGCCAAGATTATACGAAGAGAATCTTTTGATGAAACAAGTGAGAATGTTTCGTTATAATCCACCCCTTCCCTTTGGTTGAAACCCTTCGCTACCAATCTCGCTTTAAACCTTTCAACTTTGCCCTTCGAGTCCCTCTTCGTCTTATACACCCATTTGCATCCAATGGGTCTCATTGAATCTGTTTTCTCCACCAATGACCACACTTGATTAATATGCATGGAATTAATTTCCTCCTCCATTGCATGCTTCCAAGACTGAAAATTCTCACTGTTCATTGCTTCGATATAGGTTGTTGGATCAACCAACATTCCCTTGTCATGCTCCACTTCTGTAAAGTAGGTCACGTAATCGTTAGAGATCGCTGACCTTCGAACCCTTTGCGATGCTCTTCTTGGTATTTCATTTATTACTTGGGTTTCCCCAGAAACTTCCTCAATAACAGGTTCATGCATTGGCTCATTTGCATGGTCATTGATTATACCACCAATCTCAGGAATAGGTGGCAATACCTCAGGTTCGAACATAATGTTTTGCATGGCATCTGACCTTTGTTGATTATCTCCTCCATGAAAATCAGTGGGACCCTCATGTTCTTCAAACATAAAGCCATTTGAATCTCCTCCATCATGGCTGACTTCTTCTTCAATAAACTTCGCATTATTGGTTTCAAAAACTCTAGTGTGCAAGTTTGGAGCATAAAACTTGTAACCCTTAGATTTTTCAGGAAAACCAATAAAGCGACAGCTTACGGTTCTCAAGTCAAGCTTCTTTTCTTGTGGATTAAACATCCTAGCCTCTGCCTTGCACCCCCAAACACGAAGATGATTAAGACTAGGTTTCCTCGACGTCCAAATCTCAAATGGAGTTTTATTCACAGCTTTGCTCGGCACTCGGTTCAACACATAATTTGCCATCTTCAAAGCTTCTCCCCATAGAAAATGAGGGAGAGTTGTACGGCTCATCATACTTCTCACCATCTCTTTCAGCGTTCTATTCCTTCTTTCTGCGACACCGTTTTGTTTTGGTGTCCCCGGTGTGGTATACTGAGCTTGAATACCACATTCTTCAAGATATAAAGCCAATGGTCCTTTTTGTTGCCCAGCCTCTGTAAACCTGCCAAAATACTCCCCTCCTCTATCCGATCTCAAAACCTTTATTGTAGTGTCCAATTGGTTTTCAACTTCTGTTTTAAAAATTTTAAAACAATTTGGGACTTGTGATTTTTCTGAAATTAAAAAAACATATCCATATCTTGAAAAATCATCTATAAATGTTACAAAATACACATTTCCACATATTGTTTTCGTAGGAAAAGGACCACAGACGTCGGAATGGATCACTTCCAACAGTTTTTGACTCCTTGTTGAATTCTTCTTTTTAATTTTTGTTAACTTCCCTTTGCAACAATCCACACAAACATTCAGGTCGGTGAAATTTAAAACAGGCAAAATATTTTCTTTCACCAATCGTTGCATTCTTGTTTTAGATATGTGACCTAATCTTCTATGCCAAAGCATGGAAGAAAGGTCATTTGACAATGGTCTTTTAACTTGCAGTGAAGAGTCCATATTATAACAATTTAAATTATTCAAGACGGTGCAATCCAATTTCCAAAGATCATTGTCTAAAAGACAAACACCAAGCAAATAATTCAAATCATTCTTCATAAATAACCTTATGCTCTCATCGTCTCCGATGAAAGCAAAACCATTCCTTACAAGTTTTGAAGCAGAAACTAAAGACCTAGTTAATGACGGAACATAAAGAACATCAAAAAGTTCTAAAACAAATCCAGTAGATAGTCTAAGCTTGAGGTTGCCTATTGCTTCCACAGCTACTTTATTTCCATTCCCTACATGCACTTCAAAAACTTCATTACTTGTTGACGCTCTTCTTGAAGGGCCCTGCAAAGAATTGGTAATGTGTACCGAGCAATCAGTGTCAAACCACCAAGTATTTGGAGGAGCCTCAACAAGTAAAGTTTGAAAACAAACAAAAACATTGATAATTTTATTACCTTTCTTCACTGCCCATTTCTTTCTTTTCTCACAGTCCCTTTTCAAATGTCCCAATTGTTTGCAAAAATAACACTTCATATTTTCCAAGTCCACCTTATAGTTTTGAGGTCCTCTAGAGGAGGAAGCAATATTGGCAGCAACATTAGAGGTAGTATAGGGCTTAGTTTGCTTACCAATGTTCAGCATAGGCCTTTTCGTAGCATTGAAGTTCACTAAATTCACAGTCCCAGGCTTGATCTTGCTCAGCCTACTCTCCTCTTGCACACAAATAGAGATCATCTCGTCAAGTGTCCACTTTTCCTTTTGTGTGTTGTATGATATCTTAAGTTGTTCAAATGACTCAAGTAGTGATGAGAGTGCCATATGAACAACAAAAAAGTCATCAAGTGGCATCTCGAGATCCTTTAGCTTGGCTGCAGCGTCTACCAACTTCAAAATGTGCTCACGAACACTGGTTTTCCCATCGAACTTGAGTGACGTCAGAGTGGTCATCAAGTTGCCCATTTCTGCCTTCTCGGAAACCTTAAACTTTGCACCCACAGCCTCCAGGAAATCTTTCGCCTTTTCGCACACTGGAATCCCACCTCTGACTGTCTCAGTGATTGACCTCTTCATCACCATGAGAGCCATCCTGTTGGATTTCTCCCATCTTTCAGTCTTCATCCTTTGCTCATTGGTGCTGTTTTCAGTCACAGCAGGTGGCTGGTCTTCCCTCAGTGCAAGATCGTAATCCATCAGTCCTAGCACGATCTCAACATCTTGCTTCCACTTCTTGAAATTCCCTCCATTCAAGGGCTCAATGGAGGAGAAACTTAGAGCATTCGAATTCATTGAGGAAGCCACATAAAACAATCAAATAACTTCATTGAAAAATAATCAATCACAGATACATGTAACACCTTTGGGCAAGATACACGACTGCATTTTATGCATATGGACTGATCATGCATCCTTATTGTATAGCCTTCTTAATTAGGGTTCAAGTTACAACTAAAATTCTAATCTTTGGACGAGAAAATAGTTGACTCAAAGACTAACTAAAAACCTATACACTGATTAATAAAACCAACCAGTTAACTTAATACCCTTTGGATTATAGTTATCATGTCATGTACTACGAATCACCCTCCATGCAACCTCCTTAGTAAACAAAATTTTATTAAAATCCCACTTTGGTGTAGACTTTACAAACATTTGTTTTAATGGTTTAACAGCATGATTTCCTTTTGATGATAATGAGGTTGGAACTCATATCACGTTGAATCGATTTTGCTCCTGAAGAAGCACTCAAGAAAACACAACGTCAAATATCACAGCGGAACATATAATATAGAATACAGTGAATCTATGAAGAGCTAATAGAGGCTCTAATACCAAATGTTGGAGTTTTATAATTTTAGCTTCACATAGATTACAACATTAATAAGCAGAGTATAAATCAAACCTGAAGAAGCCATTGCAACAGAGTTTGCAGAGGTAAGTCTTCTACTCAATGGGGACCTTATGCTTTCACTAGAATAGGGCTAGTTTACTGAATAAGAACGTGTTTTCCCCTTGAGCAGGGACTCAACCTTTATAGACATGTAATCTCAACCATTTCCTCCTATCACGGAAACAGTTTGATTAAACCCCACGTCCATTTGATTTCCAACGTGAGATATCCACTCTCTACCATGGTTATCCTTATAGTCCTACTTTAAAGGAAATAATATTTATTCATTTATTAACTCTAACTGATTTAGGTTTCCACTAAACTGAAACCCTGATGTGATAAGATTAGAGTCCAATAGGGTTCCAACAAATTTAAGAGAGAGATGCTCTTCTTGTTACTTATTAATTAGAAAGTGAATGACTGATTTTAATGTATATGTGAAGGAGTTTTCTCACTTTAGATTATTGTGAACCCCAACTTGTGATTAAACAGTAATCCTACAAGTCTACCGTCTCTGCGTGGATACTTGATTAATAAAGACAGGAACAGAGGAGTAGTTGCTTTACATGTTCATCCAAATGATGTAGTTCCTTGATCACCTTGTAGAAATTTTGTACTTATAATCTCATTTCTCCTTGTAGCTTTATATATCTGAATAAAACCAAGTTTTTAGGTAATTAATGTTGAATTCATATTACTTCTTTCATTCACGTATCTGAAAAAGGTCCGGATTTAACTGAAAAGGTACACTTCATGCCTTTCTTTTGGATGCCCGACTGTTGTGGTTTCCATGTTTTTGTGATATCTAGAATATTAACCCTTCAATGTATCATCCTATTCATTTTTGTTCTCATTTATCAACAGATTGTTGAGGAGGCAATATCCTATTGATTCAACGTTATCCTTCAATGTCAGTTCAAAGTTACAAGTAAACTGAGGTATGCAAAGGGTGTACGTGTTAACTACTAGTGCAGATGTTCTCTTCCGATTCTCATGGTAACATTTTTCAAGTTAGTTCACGTAGAAGAGTTGTGAGTCATATAGGTGTTGCTTGAGCATTGCGGTCAAACTCATAGAGGAGTATGATGGTGGGTTAAGGTGAGTGAAAGAAGGGAAACAAATATGAAATAGTTTACAAAGTAAATAATTTATGTTGGAGGTAGATAAATTGGGGTGAAACGAATAGTTCTTTTTAGGTTTTATCAACTCTGTCTACTTCTGTGGTATATGAATATGAAGTATGTTTTCCTTCCATTGTTGTTTGTTTGAACTAATTAGAATTTGGTTTTGTTAGTCGAGGGATGTGACTTGCTCACTCACGGTCACAGATATCTTTAGGATACAAATGTGGCTTTTGTTTTTGTAATAACTAGCCACCTACAAATGAATTCTTTGTTTCTGCCGATTGAAAACTAATATTATATTACTGAGAAAAGCAAATGTTGGAGAAGCTTTTCTCCATTGCTGGCATTTGAGGACTGAATTGGAAGTTCCTAGATGGTTATTTGGAAGTCCGTTGTTCATGTTTTTTTCATAATAATGTACAAACCAGCTTAGCTCGGTAGATTTCGATTGATATCAACTTTGAGTTGATTTGTAGATGACTTTATCTGGTAGAAACGACTTTCCATTGATTTGATTAGCTTTATGATATTTCCGTTTTTTATTGGTGATATTTTTAGATTTAGGAAAGATAAAAGCAAGTGTAAGTGATAGAATGGAAGATATTAGTCTTTGATTTGAAGTTGTGATTAGTAGATTTTTGTTATAGTCGCTAGTTGTTACTAATTTTTTTTTATCATATATGAGCATATGGCCACCCACAACCACAAAGTGTGCATGAAAACTTTTTATTTTTGTTTCTAAAGTAGGAGGAGAGAGGAAGAGAGAGAGAGAATGTGGGGGTGGGGAAGAGAGCTGCTTTAATTTTTATTTTTTTATTTATTTTTAATTAGATATTTGTTAGAATCACATGTATATGAGGTTTAAAAAAAAATTTTGATTGTTTGAAATTACAATTATGCTCATATTTCTTATTCATTATTAAGTAGAGGGTTAAATTTGTAATTTCATAAGGATTTGGTTAGCAATGAGTTTTTTTTTATTAATATGTAGTTTATATATATAAAAAGAAAACAGAGAGGCAAACGCAAGTCAATAGAACAACCTGAAATGGTCATCAAACAACCTCTTAGTTTTAGAGATTAGGAAAGTGCAAACGAATATGTACGTACCAAAACTCTTTAAGAAATCAGAAATTGCGGATCATCTGAAGCGAATGGTTGCTCTTGCTCCTCATCCTCCTCAATAGGAACATTGGGATCAATCTGCCTGCGTTTTGGATGATCATCTGCTGGCTCCGAAGATGAGGAAAGCCATTGTTGTTGCTGATCATATTCATTGTCAAAGATATCTGAGGATCCACGTGGACGAGGCCTCTTCCCAAGGCTGCTCGGTGGTCTTAGAGACAAGTGAAGCAGTTCGTCTTGGTTCCGCAATAGGCAGTGCACGCCGCAGCTTTTAATGGGACACCCTTTGCTCAAACGAAATACAACTTGACAAATATCTCCCTGCTGCTCCAGCTCCTCTAAATTCACTAACGTAAACCTCACATGAGTTGCCTTTATGTCCGTTGCATACCATGGATAAGGTACACACGTTGTTTTTCCGTTGATGAAAATACACTTGTCATCAGCATAAATTTCCGTTGATGGTTCAAGAACAAAAGATAGAGCCAATCCTAATAACGTCTCCCCCACTTGTAATTTTAGAGGAATTTCAAAACGAAATTCTCTGCCTCCAAATTTTCGTTTCCTGTCATATTCATCCCATTCATATTCTGGTAGAGGTTGAATGGTTGTGGGATGATCTGAGGTATAACTGAACCACTTTGGAACTACATTGCCTGGGTAAATAATATCCAATCGAGAGTGCGGATTAATTTCCTGCAATAGTAGATATATATAGTTAACAAATTACAAACATTTGTGATCTATTTCTCTTTCAAGTATCAACAAAATTAATTTTCATTTGAACATAAATTAAGAAGAAGAGAGACCAACCTCATTCAACAAGTTGTTTTCCAACTTTGCCACCTTATCACCACTAAGTCCAGAGCAGTGACACAAGCTAAGAATCGCAAGCCCCACCTCATCACCACTAAGTCCAGAGCAGTGACACAAGCTAAGAATCGCAAGCCTCGGGGGCAGTTTTGGAATTTTCTCCAATGATGTGCAATCATCCAGATGTAACTCTTTTAGTTTTGGTGGAAGGACTGGAATTTCTCGAAGCCTCTTGCAAGCCATCAAGAGAAGTCTCTCCAAGTTGACAGCGTTGCTAATACAATCCGGAAGGCTAACAAAATTGTTGCTCGACAGATTAAGTTTTGTTAATGCGGACCAGCAATCAAGAGGCACAAGGAAATCACTTTCTGATAAATTGCATCCTTCCAGATCAAGAGACAGTCGTAAATTGGTTCTGCAGGATGAAACTTCTTCAAACTTCACCTTCTTTCCAAAAGGGAAGAGTTGGATATTTTGCAACTCACAACCATTTGCTTTCAATGTCTCAAGCCTAGTAAAATAAGCAATTGATGGCAATTCTCTTATGCCACTTTTTTCTATATCCAAATACCATACGGATTCCATCTTGCCCTCTATTTCTGGGAAACTCTCGAGCCTTCTGCAACCTCTGAGATCAAGTTCATATAAGGACCTCAATCCAAGTCTTGTTGCAAACCTCGTAAGCTTAGAGCACCCACTAAGATTCAATATTGCAAGTTTATCAAGGAATCCAACTGAATCATCAACCTCGACCAAACTTGTGCAGTCACTTAGATCCAACTCCTCTATGTTTGGGCATCTGGATAAGTTGGGGACATTTTGCAACTCACAACCATTTGCAATCAAGTCCGTAAGCCCAGTAAGATACGCAATTGATGAAGGCAATTCTCTTATGCCACTTTTTCCTATCTTCAAATGCCTCAGAGATTTCATCTTGTCCTTCTCTATTTCTGGAAATCTCTCCAACCTTGTGCAACCAGAAAGATAAAGCTCTTTAAGGGATCTCAATCCAAGTCTTGTTATAAACCTCGTAAGCTTAGAGCACCCACTAAGATTCAATATTTCAAGTTTATCAAGGAATCCAACTGAATCATCAACCTCGACCAAACTTGTGCAGTCACTTAGATCCAACTCAATTATGTTTGGGCTTCCAGATAAGTCCGGGATTTTTTTTAAGAATTCGCAACCACTTAAATTCATCCATGTAAGCTTTGCCAAATTCTATAAAACCAAAAACAAAGACAAAACAAAAGTTCACATGCTTTAAAAAGAATATAATAAAACACTTGAGTATTTTTTTGGGAAATAAAATATATGTTTAAATAATAATGATTCAAAATAATTTAAAGTATGTACCTTAGATTCCTTCAATTGTCTTATGCCACTGTATGACACATCAAAGCTAACAAGTTGTCTCGGATGAAAATTGGATGGCAAATTGAGCACATACGTATGCTTTTGATTAATATTGAATCGTCCACCGAATTCAATCAACCTCAAACTGTTGGGCAGGTAATCAATGCGTCCTGAAAAGTGTGCATTACGGTTTATAAAAAATTCAAGATTCACCATCTTCGAGAAGCTTTTTGCTTTCAAGGGTATCACATCTGGTTCGGACAGATTCACAACAGTGCCTCTAATTTTCTTTGTTCCCTAAGATGGAAAAAGAAATAATGTTAACGAACAAGTTACAATAAAATCTTTTTTTTTTCTTTTTCAAATTCATGCCAATTAAATCAAATGTAATTATGTAAGAACATATATTCTACTCACTCTACTGTCAATTAGAACATTGCGCACATCTTCATGATGCCACAACCTGCTTCGCTTGCCCGGTTCAGTGGGGGATTCTTTGTAAACTATATGCTTACCCATTTTTTCTAGCAAATCATGCATCAAAATCAGATTATCTTCAATAGTTATGATGGCTTTCTCAACAAGTACTTCAATACAATCTTGACGTACATTGAGCGTCAAACTTCTTAATATTTGTAACACGTCTTTATTTTCACCCTTAAAGAAACATGCAATGTCTAGAAAAACTTGTTGCAAGTCATAATCCCATGCATCATAAGTTTTTCGAAGTATTATTTGAATATCTGTATAAGGTTCTCCACCGTAAGAATCGTAACTGTTCAATACAGCTTGCCAACGACCTATACTCTTATTACACAAATAAGAACCTATAATATTAAGAGCCAACGGAAGGCCTCGAGCATAGGCTATTGCACTTCGTGCGAGGCTCAAATAATCATCTAGAGGTCTATTTCTTTCGAAGGCATTCCAACTAAAAAGCTCAAGTGCTTTGTCGTATCCCAACTTTTGGACTTCATTTCATATATCCACTTACCTCCATAAAAATCTAGCAAACTTCTATCTTTTGTGGTTATGATCACTCTGCTACCCTCACCGAAACAATCGACATCGACCCAGTCTTTTAACCGCTCCAATTTATCCACGTCATCAAGAATTAAGAGAATCTTCTTTTGACTCAACCGCTTCTTAATAATACTAATTCCTTCATGATCATCGACAATTTTCAACTTTGTACCACATAGAATTTTAGATAGAAGAGTCTTCTGTAGTTTGATTACGCCTCCAAGCGATGCCAGTGTTTCTCTAACATTTGCCAGAAAACAACTACCATGAAACTTATGAGCAATTGCATTATGAACAGCTTTTGCAATTGCTGTCTTGCCTATTCCAGATGTCCCCCAAATCCCAACCACACGACTATCATTTCCACCGACACCTAAAAGCTCTTCCACCTCTTTTACACAAGACTCTATTCCAACTGGGTATTTGGCCACATGCAAATATGTGCGATTTAATATTTGAGTTGAAATCTCCTCAACGACGTCGTTAATAAATGTAGTTTCATACCTACCAGATAAAAAATAATGACACATTTAATTATGTTGGCATGATACAGTAATGACAACCAATTTGGTGGCCTTAACCCTTTTTTTTATACTCCAATTCATTGATAACTTTTTTTAGCCAAAAACGTATTATTGTTATTTTTTTAATTTGAAGTTAGAACCCAAAATTTTTTAGTCGTAAAAGTGTCTTATCAATCATGATATAATACACACGTATTAAGTTATTACTTAACACCATTTTAATCATTGAGGTAATCTAATATGCTTGTTACCTATTTAGTTATAATCAAGATTCATCATTCACATTTCAGACACATTTAGTAAATTAAGCTATGCATCAAGATTTAATATACAAATTAAGCTTAAAACCAAATAGAAGTTACAAACTAAATAAAATAGAAGCTAAAGTTAAAGTTACAAACTAAATCAAAAATATTTTTTTGTTTTAAATTCTAAAAATACATCGAATATCCTATTAAAATACAATTATGAGATATAATATGCACATATATTAAATATAAATTTAATTATATAATTTTAATTTGTGTACATTAATTATATAAATTTAATTTGTGTAAGTATTAGTACTTTGGTATGATATAAAATATTACTTTTGGTATGTTGTGCAATTTTTTATTCGGTGTGTACCAAATTATTAGTGCATTGTGTTGTCCTTATTTTGGTACATACCAAGTTATTGGTAAGTTGTGTTGTCCTTATTTTAATTATAAAATGACTCTTATTTTTTTTATAATTTGTATAAAATGTTGAGTTGAAATTTGAAAAAATTTATATTTCATCCAATTAATCTGCATCCCACTAGATATAATTGAATCCTTAAATTGAGGAAGGGATGAGATACATAAAAATAGCAATTAATTAATTAATATTAGCATTTTTGATATGGAAATAAATTCAAAATTAAAAAAAAACAGTTAAGTTAAGAATATACCTATAATATAGGGTTTAATCAAAAGTTTGAAGGTAACAAATGTTTAGTTTATAAATGTCTAAAATGAGACATCTAATTCTAATTTTCTATGGCACTGTATATATTGATTTTAAATACCATTATCATATCAATTATGTTGGTATGGTACAATTAGCACACCATTACATATGGTTCAAAAATTGGCACAAAATTGGTGTGATGCAGTTGGTAATTTGGTTGGTACGGTAATATGGTGAAAAAATTCACCCCTAATAATGAATTTATTGCAGTTAGTACTCTTATTTGGTCTTATATTAATTTTATTATACCCATTTAGTACTCTTATTGGCTAATAACTAGATAAGGATGTTGAATATAAAGATATTGATATCATAGAGTTATATTAAAGTTTGATGACATGATGAATTATAGGATGCGTGGTTAGATGTACTAGAATATGAATAATATGTGGCAGATTTTGAATTTTTTTTGTTATTGTTGGACTACTCTAAGTGCTAACAAAGTAAAAAAAATTTAAAAGAAAAAATATTTGCTTCGGTTATGGGTTGGTTGGTATGCTTCGGTTTGTTTCAGATTTTTATCAAGTTTCAACCAAACTAAATCGTTATTTTGTAATTGATTTGACATTGTTTTGGGGGTAAACAGTAAACTTGAACCAATTCGGACCCTGAACACCTCTTAATTCTTATTTTTATTTCAGCACTTCTTAATTCTTCAGTCAACTACATAATTCATAGTAACAAACGATTTTTTTAGAAAAAAAAAGTAAAAATGCTATTTTTACCTTCTATTTGTATAACCTCCCTAATAAAGATGTATTCAAATGTGTTGATGGACTCTACTTCTATTAAAGAAATGATACAAATAAAAGGTAAGTGCAACACTATTTTTAAAAAAAATTCCAAATTCCCAACAATAAATGTTTTTCGCCATTTTTCTTTTGTTAGGAGAATACAATAATATCAATTGAGCCCTGATTTATAACAGTTATTCTCTTTTTGTTTGAAAATTATTGATTTTGCTTGAGTTGTTTTTATTAGCACACTACATATTATTAAACGATTTATATAATTACTGTTTAGGCCTAATAAGATTTAAAAATCAAACAAAAATTTTGAGTACCCCGAATCATTTTTAAGGTGTATCCCAAAAATTATTTTTCTTCAAGCTCTCAAAGCCACTCCCACCCTCCATTATAAACAAAACTCTAACCAATAAAAGTAAAAATCCATTGATAAACTTTATTTTATGCATTGTATGTCACTTTCTAATTTGAAATCAACGGAAATGCATGCATAATCATATAGTATGCAAGGTGTGTTCAACAATATGTGAATTGTATTTAATATGTGAGGTCTATTCAACCGTATGTGTGGTGTGAATAAAACAACCCTAAATGTCATTAGATTGAGAAAAAAGATTATATTTGTAAAAGGAAGTAGTAAATTCCGAAATATAGAGTAAAGCAACTCAAAAACCATATACAGGAAGGTTAGAAATAAACGTACTCTCCCTCATTGAGAGTAACTCCTTTTAGATTTGCTGCTTCTGTAAGAGCTGTCCTCCATCTTTGCACCTTCTCCAGGTCATTCTCATATTTGCGGCTATGGTTAGCAAACGCAGCACCATAACTATTTCTTTGGTGTCGGACATCCGATGGATCCACCTTGTAGAAAATTGGCCTTGTCATTTGTCCCTTTGACTTTCTACATTCAAGGATATGTACGAGCTCATCCAAGCACCATCTTGAAGAAGCATGGTTTTCAGAGAATACGATGACAGAAATTCTCGACTTATCAATTGCTTCGAGAAGAGTCGGTGATATTTCTTCTCCTGTTGGAAGTTCATGATGATCAATGACTGTGTGGATTCCATGACGGTCCAAGGCATGGTATAGATGATCTGTAAAATTGGTGCGTGTATCTTCACCTCTAAAGCTCAAAAAGACATCGTATGTCCATGAAGGAGTACTGCTGAAGGAAGAAGAAGGGACAATTTGATTGGCCATAGGAGAAATAAAGCCAGACCATAAGCTAAAGAAAGGAGCCTCTCAAAGAATTGGAATATGCAGTATGGTATGGTGTATGGACAATGGACTCTCTCTTGTTATATATATATATATATATATATATATATATATATATATATATATATATCTATCAGTCATCATGCTTTTCTCCCTACCAATGAAGCAGCTTCTTCCTTGCTACCTTTCAATGTGATTGTGATAAAGTGAAAGAATTAAAGTTGACACGAAACTTCTCGTTTCTTTCATTGCAATATCTTTTCATCAAACAGATTGTATTTTTTTTGTTCCTTTTTCGTACGCCAGATATTTATAAATCTAGTGATCTTGATTCTTGATGGGTCAATTCATCGTCCCATCACACTGTTATTAGTTGGGAACAACTCAACTACAATTATTTACTTTTTCTTTTGATTATATAATAAAATGATTCTTTTGAACAAATTATTTTTCTTTTTCATGCAATGAATGAAATGCAATTCCTTTTACATAAAAATTAAAAACATATTAATTAGCACCACAAATCTGCAGGAAATCAAATTAACCACCGACATGCCATAAAATGTACATGTTTGGATTTTTATTTTTACACAACAATATTTTTACACTATTAATCGACATTAAAAAAACTCATAAAAAGTTAGAAAGAATATAAAATACATAATAAAAATACACAAAACACACGAAATATATATATATGAAACATAAGAAAGAATATAAAATACATAATAAAAATACACAAAACACACGAAATATATATATGAAACACATCCAATCTAGCTGTGCTAGTGTTGTTAGTGTTTATAATAAATTTATGTATACTAGTATATGGATATATAACATCCAATCTAAGTTGACAAAGAATAATTTGCTTCAATTATACCAAAAAGAATTAATTATCCTCATTTCACCAATTAATTGACAAGTAATTAGTTAGTCCTCATTTCACCATCTCAATCACTTAAATGTTGTCACAGCCCGTCCCAGAATTATTAATTCCGAGGACGTGAAATTACAAAAATGACCTTAAACGGGATTAAGGTGCGTAAATTCAACATTAGTTTTACCTAAAGTTCCTAAACTATTGTTAATTAGAATATTAATTAGTGTTAGGAACTTAAACTAGGACTTAGATTTACATTTCTATGTATTAATTTTGTGTTTGGGGTTTAAGTAGGGCCTCACACCCTAATTCCCTCCCCATTTTCCGTATATTGTCACTCTCTCTCTTCCTCAGACACTCACTCTCTCTCTCCCTCTCGAACGTACGAGCAACCACCAAAATCACCCAAAACTTCTACCATCGTCAGATTTAAGGCTACCATTGCATTCCTGAGGACTCCACGATCACGTAGGTACCAATTTAAGGTGAGTTTTACTTGGAAAACCCTAGTTTCTAAAGATCCCGTGAATGTGTACTGTTCATGAGCTTTGAATTGGTTGTGTTTTAGGCCAAACTAAGCTCACAGTGAGCTTTAGGAAGTCTCAAGGAAGCTCGGAGTGTGTCGTTTGGAAGTTTTGGACGTCGGAATCACCTAGTTCGACGTTTGGCCGATTTCTTGAAATTTTGGAAGGTATGATCCCGTGGTTTTTAGTGCTTAAAACCATTCCATCGTGGTTCTACATGTTAAGGGCTTCAATTTGGTATAAAATTCGAGAAAAATGGACGAAAAACGAGTGAGAATAGTTAATTTGAAAAATTCCCAGTTTTCCGGTGACCGGAGTCCGGCGAGAGACCATCGGAGAAGAAACAGGAATATTCCGTTAGTTTTAACGGAATATTCCTAACGGCGTTAACGGTAACCGTTAGGTTTTAACGGAATATTCCCGGAATATTCCTGACGGCGTTAACTGACGCCGTCAACATGCAACGCACGTGGCCGCGCGCGGGGGCGCGTAGACCCGTGCCCAATTCGGGGTGTGGGGGCGCGTGAGACGTAGAAAAATTATTTTAAAAATATTACGATGCTCGTGAGGTTGTGTAGATCGCGTTAGAGTATTCATTTGTCAAAATTAAGCATCGTATGAGGAATTAATTGCCTAGTTTCATTTATGCGCTTTAAATGACGTTTTATAGTTGTTTCGCATATAGGTGAGACTTATAGCGAGGACGAGCACCTCCAGGGGCGTCAAAGGGGTTACGACCCGGCAACATACCAGTGAGTGGGCATTGCTTTTTATATATATACCTATATACTCGATTTCCCCAGAAATCAACTTAAATGAAAAGTATGTTGAAATGAGATATGAAATATAGTTTGGTTTGCCATGCATAGAATTTCATGAATATTATGAATTGTTGTATGATGCATATATGTGAAATGGTGATGTGGACGCACAGGTGAGTATCAGGTGAGTATTATTACTGTTATGATGATGTTGAGATATGTTGAGCTCATAAACTGCACCTGGGTATTAGTGCTTATATTATTCACCCTGCATCGCATGCTCACCTTGGATCCAAGTAGATGCTAGTCGTACAGACCACTAGGGGTGGTTCCGACATGCCAGTCGTATAGACCATTAGAAGGGTTCCGACTGGTAGGTGACCTTAGATTATGTGCACAGATGATTGATGAGAGAAGCACTAGAGCGTAACATTAACCATTAAGTCGTATAGACTACATTAGGTAGTTCCGACTTATGTGCAGTGTAGTGCCGTACAGGTCATACTAGGTGACTCCGGCTAGATGAGATTTTGAGCTCTAGATTCAGCCGTACAGGACCATTGTAGGGTCTCCGGTTGATTTATCCTTCCACCTGATTTATGTTAATGCATTCATACTAAACTGTTGAATTTGACATGGCACATTTTCTATTGAATCTGTTATGAGATTGATGATTGAGATGGTTGAGATATATATGCTTATATACTATTTTTCTGGGAAAGTATACAGGTTTTCAAAGAGGGGTTATAAATGTGGATTTATGAAATGTTTTGGAAAAGCTTTATTTTCGCCCACTCACGTTTTCTGTTTTGCGCCCCTCCAGGTTCTAGTTGAGGCGTTGGTGGCCTACGAGGACTTCTTCGACGTTCTGACAGACTAAATAAATGTAGGATTCACCCGAGGGTGTTGTAAATTAGTTATGGTCCTACTTGACTGCATCTAGACGCTTATGCTTTGTTTATGTGTGTTTAGTACACTCTTATGCACATAGAATGCTAGGTTGTTAATAACTGCAATTAGTGGTTTTTGTTGGTTCGTATTTTTTTATATTATCGTTTCCGCCTGCACTTATGGTTACGTCACGCTCATGTGACGGCCAGCACGTCCTAATCTTCGGGTTAGGGTGTGTCAAATGTGGTGAACGTCTGCCGTTGGATTAGTCAACAGAGCCATTGGGCTCAATATTCAAGCCAGTTAGTGGCCGTACAATCCACGTGGATGGGGTCACCTCCTGCAGAAGCTGACCGCATATGGGAGCATGCGCGTCAGTTTTCGTGTTTGTGTTTCAACGCATGGTTCTCCACTTGCAGAAGTGGGCCACTACAATAATATATCAGTATAGAAGAAAGGATCCTGGCAGCATTCTCTTTATAAGGATTCTGAGAATCCTCAAATAATATTCATTCATCATATATCGTGTGCTAAAAAATTATTATAAATTTTTTTATTTAAAATTAAATATAAACCGTACTTAACAAAAACTGATCGCACGATGTATGATGAACGAAAATAATTGGAAGATCTCCGAGATCCTCACAAAGAGAATCCGTCTCTCTCATTATATAACTCACAATTTTCAAAAAAGTAATGCTAGGAAAACTAAATTTATAAATTAAAATAGCAAACTAAATTACAAAATTTAATCTTCTTAACATTATTATTTACAAAAGTCAAACTTAAAACCATGCAGCTATAAGTTCAACAATATGACTTAATTAGTTGGGTAAAAAAAGATCTAGACTTTTAATTTGGGGAAAAAGAGTAGTGTTCCATTTTTATTTTTATTTTGGGTGAACAGACTTTCAATTGGTTACCCATGTCTTAGGTGAACCCTATCCCATATATAAGTTTTATTTGTGGATAGAAGCCAATGAACCAGAAACTGGAACAATTATGAAATTTTAATGGTTTAATATATTGATATTTATCTTCATTCGAAAATGAGAAATTTTAGGTTCGAATTTCGTGGATGACAAATTAGGCTGTCCATTACGTGAGATTTCATCATAAAAACAATTGACAATATAAGAAGTAAGTTAATTACTTATAAACATATGTAATGTTATTTTTTTACCCGATTTGAAATTCACTCTCAATATCAGTAAGTCATTCATAACTTAAACACATAAATTTTCATTCTCGTCTTTTCATCTTGGAAAATGATGGAGGATAAAATGTCTACATATCTCCTGGATTGATAAAACGGTAATCATCTGAACACCTAGATGAAACCTAACTTTACGTAAACAAAGTTTCCCAATCAACTGAGTCATGACCCAAAATCAAAAGAACAGCTTCCAGGACATTTCTTGGCCGGAAGGGGAGAAGGAGAGAGATTCGAGAGTGAGAGACAGAGAGCTGAGAGAAAGAGAGAGTCTCGGGGTGGGGGAAAGAGAGAAGAAGGGAAAGGGTTAGGGAACTGCCGCGTGGCAGCTGAAGAGAGGAGAGAAAATCTAA